TCCGAGGCCACATTAACACCCTCCTCGAGGGTCTTCGGTCCACGGGACCGAACCGAGTCAGCCGTCCCAGATTCAGCGGCCTCCAATCGAGACACCTGCGAGGCTCCCATACTCGACCTCATCCTCCGTGCTAGCAGACACTCATCGTCATCCTCATCCGCAGCCTCGGGATTTGCCTTATAGTAGAAGCAGAGGTCGTGGTAGTGGCTTGATGCTTGAGTGACCTGGGTTTCTATGCTGCGGGAGGATCAATAGACACCTTACTTTCCCTCTTCTTGCCCTTGCCGGGCTCTGACGCCTCCACTTCGCCACCAGGGGGCGACCTCATCAGCATATTCTCGCCGAGACCTGCACAAATGCAATAACCGCAAGCTGTCATCACAAAAGACGTAGAGAGAAACGCAAATCTGAGGCATAGGCGGTAAGGAAACTCTGCCATGATTCTTGGCCACCCATCGCCCCTTGGCTAGGTCAGTGCAGGACCGAACAGGATATGGGAACGCCTTGTCTAATCGTTGGATCCATCCCGACAAATTCGGAACCGCCTCGGGGTACCAAGTAACAGTTGCAGGAGACGCAGAGATGTCGTTATTCAAAAAGAAAAATATTACTTATAAAACGCGATTAAGGGAAAATTTCTTACGCTGTGTATTCCACTTTTCCGGAAAAGGCATCCTCCGGGCCGGGATGACATCCACGGTCTTTACCCGGACGAACCTGCTCATCCACCCTCGATCCTTTCCCTCGTCGACGCTCGAGAAAAATGATTTTTTGGATCGATGATGGAGCCTGATCAAACCTCGATAAAATCGAGGGCTATACATCCTAATCAAATGGCTGAGGGTAAAGATCTCACCCTCAACCCCTTGGGTGAAGTGACGGTACATCAATACTATCCTTCAGAAAGAAGGATAGATCTGACCAAGCATTACTTGGTACTTGTCGCAGAAGTCAAGGATAACCGGGTCTATCTCCGTGGGAGAGGAGTCAGAAGAATTATCAGGACCCAAGGTGAAAGGGTAGGTATATACGTGGAGGAAGTCGGCCTTATAGTCCATTATATTCTCATGAGGACCGGGAATCTCCACCTCCATTGCCTTGCCCCATCGGCAGTCCATCCTCACCGTTTGTATGTTAGTCATGACGCTAATATATCGAGACACATGCTCACATCAGCCCGGTGTGGATGAAGTGGCATCGATGGTAAAATCTTTCGACACATCAAGATTAAGTGGAGTGCACTGTCTCAAGGAAGGTATCACTCTGGTTTTCTCTTTAGGCGATCGAGATGGTGATGCGACTTCGTTCCGCCGAGGGACCGTCCTAGAAGTCCTAGCCATATCAATGGTAAGTTTTTCTCTAAAACAAGATGGAAGAGTGTAAAAGATGATGGGTTTTGACTCGTGAATTTGAAGATGCGGAGTATCAAACAGTCGATATATTTATAGGAACTGCTAGGGCAGCAAAAAGGGCAGGCCGATAGGCAGTTCACGGGTTCCTCGATAATCGCATTTGACGGCGACCCTTGCACGATTTTCTGGGGTATGGCATTTAATGCTCTTATAGGTTGACGTCAAGGCAATGGTGCCCTTAAAATGGCAGTTCAAAATCATTTCCAATTACTTCGATTATAGGAAACGCGGAGACTATCTGTATACGGCAAAATGGGAGGTCCAATTTCCCGTCATCGAGGCATTTCGGAAGATCGCCTCGAAGCCTCGAGGCTGCAAAGATGCACTCGAGTCTTCTCCCTCGGAGTCCATCGACACTCGGCCTTGACAGGATATCGGTCGGGGCTAGAGTAAAAATGGTAAGTTCCCAAGACGCGGCTAAGTCTGTCGCGGCTGAGTCTGACAAAGCCTAGCTAGGCTATTCTGAGCCCTACTCGGGGCGTCTTTCTAGTCGTCCCATATCCACACCTTTACAGCGAATGTATGACTTACCATATAAGCTTCCCCCCTTCTATATAAAGGGGATTCGAATTATTTTGTAGGGGACTGATGTTGCTCCAAAGACTCTACATGAAATATATGATAAACTCTCTCTCTTTTCTCTCTAATACTCTCTCTTGATACTGTTGCTCTATTTTATTATCTTCATACTTGTTCCACATTTATTGCTTATTTATTGTTTATTATTGGCCATAAAGAGCCTCCTTTAATATTACTCCATCTGTTAGCCTTTCCTCGATTCTCCCTGATAGCTCGAGCCCGAGCTCGAACCCGACCTCGAGGCCCCAAATCGACCAGCTCAAGGCCCCGAAAGGCTATCTCTCATTTCGATTACTGCTTTATTTAGCTCGCGTATCACCCTTAAACTTTACACACTTAGCATCAACTGCTCCACAACTAGCATAAAAATAGATCACGTATTTTTAGAGTCCCATCAATAAATTTAATTGTCTTTACCATTTTCACGGTAAACACAAATGAAAGCTTACATCCTTTTTCTAACTGACAGCTAACACAAAGAGGGAGTTTATTCCATTTCTTGACATCAATACACTTATTACTACTAAGAATCTTTAAAGACTTTAGACTAGGGTGTCCCAATCTAGCATGCCAAATACTGTCAGTATTCTTCCACTCCTTTGATGTGGATAGGGCATAGCAGTTATGGTCCTCCAGTGCATATAGATCATTCTTCTTAGATCCCTTGGCCAGAAGTCTCCCTGAGATCTTGTCCTTTATAACAAAATGAGATTCATCAAACTCAAGTATACAAGAATTGTCCTTAGCAAGCTTACTAACTGACAGCAGTTTCTTTTTAATCATAGGAACAACAAGAATTTTTTTTACTTTAAGTCTAGATGTTGTTGTATTGCCAATATTTGTGATGTCAAGTTTAGTGACATCCCCAACTATTATCTTATCAGAACCATTATAAGGTCGAAGGTTTGACAGCTTACCTGTTTAATTCGTTATGTGACTGCTTGCACCAGAGTCAACATGCATAGCTTTTTCTTCAGCCTCTTTATTCTGCAAATTAACTACAAAAAAGACCTGTGGCAAATCCTTTGTAGCCTGGTAGGAATAGTCCCACCTGTAGAAGCATTTTAAGGTTGTGTGGTTGTTCCATCCACATATTTGGCAATTTTCCTTGCCTTTTGGTTGACTTGAATTTGCAGTGTTCTGAGTAGCTTGATTAATCTGATTGTTACCTTGTCCTGCAGGTCTAAAACCTCTTCCTCTTGAGGAGAAGTTTGAGTTTCCTCTTCTATTAGAGTAACCCCCACGACCTCTTCCTTTTTGAGAAGAAAAGGCCATATTGTAGTCTTGTTGATTCATTTCTTCTTCATCTTCTCTCATGTAAAATCGTCTAAGAGCATCGACAAACTAGTTCAGGGTAGGATATGGAACCTTTCCCAGCATGACAGTCCTAAAGGTCTTGTACTTTGGACCAAGTCCTCTAGCAAAGTTGATCACTTTGTTGTCTTCATAAACAGGCTTGTGTATGGCTGAAAGACCTTCACATATGCCTTTGAACTCCTTCAGATATTCATGAAGTCTCTTGGTTCCTAGCTTGATGGTCTGTAGTTGTTGCTTAAGTTGAAATTCCTTATCCTTGGTTGCCTACAGGTATGCTTCCTCCATGCATTCCCACATTTCTTTGGTAGTTGAACATCCCACAATGAGATACATGCTTTCCTCAATCATTGTAACAGATATCCAACTCCTCAGGAGCACATCTTTGTCCTCCCAGTCAGTGTTGTCATCACATTTGTCGACAGCCTTATTAGCACCAGCAGAAGTAGATGAATTGCTTGTGTCTGGCTTGCCTTCCTTGATCAGGTTTGTCGCCTTCATTACCTGAATCAACTGGAGTATTTGTGTCCTCGAGATTAAATAGTTCGATGGTTTCAACTTAACTGGACAGGAGGCAATCAGATGATGCAGGGAAGCAGGTGATAGACACAAAGAGGTTGAGGGTGTTGTTATGTCCATGTTTGATCTTGTTTTTGGTGTGGGCAGCGTAGCTTCAGAATGCTCTGATAGCATGTAGAAAACCACAAGATTGAGAAGGAATCGTGTGTTTTCACATGTATTACAAGGCCACAAGTGACTGCATTTATACAAGTCACAAAATAATCGAAAAACTAGGCTAAGTATGCTAAGTGATAGCGTCTACAAATGACTTTGTTCTACTACATGTATGACTATTATATTTAGTTAAGTACAAACTCTATAATGCAATCTAGCCATCCTTATCTCGTGTAAGCTTATCCATATCATGATCAGCTTCTTCAACATGGGAGGTTATAAGTACAGTGATCACAAGAGACAAAATCAACCTGAAAGGAAGGTCTCAGAAATTATTCTGAATCTTTATTCATTAAGCATAAACTTGAAGGTATTTTAATAATGAATTGAATAAAGTAGCTTGCAAGAGATGACTTTTGTTCAAACTTGAAAAATCTGCGACTTCTCCAAGTCACTTAACAATCGACATGGCTTACAACCACGAGGTGGCGAGACATTCTGCATTGTTTTTCAGTTTTGAAATTTCTCAACTGACACCATGAGAATTGCGCATTATTTAGCATCATTGTCTTACAAATAACGAAGCAACAAATTAACAATCACAAAGATGCTACTTAGGAAGTAACTTTGTGAAAAAATTATTGCACACATTAATTATCACTAGGGGGTTTGCCAATATTTATCTAGTCTTGTCTGATCCAAGTTATCTAGAAAAAAAATTCTTTACCATTGTCTTTGTTATATTTTGTTTTCTTTTTTTTAAAAGAATTTTTTTTTTCCAATTGAAATTATTCGGTAAGCTAGCCAGCCATTTAATTATGACACTGGAGTATGGAGTAGGCAAACGAAACCCAGCCAGAAAGATGCTTATGAAATAGAAAGGAGCATATTATAATGATATAAAATATAAACCTTTGAGTACGGAGTACAAATGCAAAATCAACTGACTCACAAACCTGCTCTTTCATTTTTGAAAGCTCGCGTATTTGCAACACTTAACACAACACAGAAAACAAATGATCATAAAAGAAAATTGATGCGAACACAAAATGATTGTCTGACTGACATAAGAAAAGGCTGAAATAGGCATTGGGGACATCGGCTTATTAGCAAGTGAAGCCAGTAGGAGGATTCCTTCCGCAGTTGTTGAGAACTAGGCTAAGGGAGAGTGGCACATTCAGATTTATTCCCAGCACATTTGCTCTTATGGCTGTGCACAAGCAAACTGCCGCCTCTAAATCCGCCAGCCCCGCGATCAAGCTGCAGCATGGCATCGTTGGAGGACTCCCAATTACCGCTCCCACCAATCCACCAACTAAATTTGCACATACACCCAACTTCAGAGCATCTCTCGGGCACCTGCTTTGTCCATTGCCAGCTCCGCCGCCATTCCCTGAACCACCACCGCTGTCGGAGCTGCCACCATTGCCCGAGCCACCAGTGTTACCGCCATTACCGGTGCTAGGAGGGTTATTATGACAAGAGCCACAATCAGTTCCACTGACTATGGCAAAGAAAAGGAGATTCAATGAGAGGAAAAGGGTAACTGAGGCTCTTGTTTTTGAAGCCATGTTATAAGGAAGCTAAGGCAGAAAGTACTTCCTACAAAATTAAAAGTGTAAAGAGAAGTAATTGCAAAGATTGTATGGTATAAGTCTGGTACTAATGTAGGCTATTTATAGAGCTAGGAGGATGAATAATTTACGAACAATCCCTCTTAAGCATAGGGAGAGATATTAAACTAATAATGCGTGCGGTGCATGGTGTTGAAAAAAAGAAGTGTCATTTTTACCAACTCTTAACTCTTAGATGATTTACTACTTTTGTTGTTTACAGCTCCTCTGCTACCTAGGTAACCAGGGAACCTTCTATTATGTGATGCCCGTGACTCGGTGCATGTGCATTAAATATTCTAATTAAGCCATTCTGCAGATTTCCTGATTCCCATTACTTAACCAAATTCATTAGGACATCGCCGATATATCACAAGATATCATGGCAGAACTAGTATGTCGATTACGGGTTCGGCCCCAACCGGTATCTGCTAGGGTGCGGCTTAGGTCAACTAACACAAAAAAGATACAGTTCACTCAAACGATTGTCATCGGGTTAAACTCCATATGGGAATGAGTAAGTAACTTTATTTCAAACTCTATATTTATTTTGATATTTTTTTTTGAATATATATAAATTTTTTATTTAGAACTCATTAATTTAATAGGACTAGAATTCCGAACGCATAAGCTTCAGCTACTCCTCTGCGACATATATATTGTAACTCCTATAGTTACTACGTTTACTTCTGATTTCTCTTCTCTATTACTCCGTAACTTTAAGGACTGTGGATTTGACTTTGTTTCTCCTAACTACAGGGTAATGAATACTGCTTCTAGCTAGTGGAAACGATCTCCTTTGATCTTCTGTATTCCTCTGTCTGCTTTTTTTCTTTTAGTTTACCTTTACATGAAAAAAAAAAAAGAACAACCGAGAGTGATTTCCTTTGATCTTCGACTCTCATGTCTAGTTGGGAATGTAAAGGCCATCATTAGATAGGAAATAACTTGCACATTTGATGTTTATACTAAATCGATTAATGTAAAATATAATCTACTATATCGACTTACGGATAATATAATATCCGTAGAATTTTTAATAACTATATAGCCTTGAACATTTACCTAATACATTTCCTTAGTCCTAGCCTCTTAATGCTACTCATATCACATGTGCACTTAACATGTATAATCTTCCAACCTTAAGTCTCCACCAAATTAATAACACATGCATATATATTCTGAGTTTACAATATCTTAAACTTCAAATCTTCAAGCAAAAAAAGAAAAAGATTTAGGTTAGACTATTAAACTAATACTCCACATGACCTGCAGGAGTACTGACCTCAATTATATTCAAGCAACAACCACATCCTGTGATTCGGAGGCATCTAACTTCATTTCTCTGTTTCTAATTTGTCTTATATATCAAATTTGCCTTATATCTCTATTGGGAATTCTGTATTATAATTGTTCAAAGGCGTGGGAATTTTTTAAAAAATAACACCGGTTCAAACATTCTGTAGAGATGCCTTGGATCACGGAAATTTCTAGTACTGGTGGAGGCTAAGAGGTAAGCAACTAATACTAAATAATCTATGTTAAATATTCCTTTAACATTTTCAACACCACACAACCCATGCATTACCTGTAATGACCCGACTTGTCGTTTTAAGAATTTATGCCTCGTTCAGCGACTTAAGGTCTCGAGCAGCTATGTAGTATGACCCGCGTGCGTGGCCGAGTTTGGCTTAAAGCCTCGACTAAGATCGTATTGTCTTTTGGGACATATTGGCATATTTGGTTAAGGTCCCGAGTGCCACGGGTGGATTTCGAAAGGTTAGCGGAATTGATTTTGGACATTGAAGCTGCTGATTTTTCTGCTGTTCTGGACAACATCTGGTGCATCGCTTCTGCGATGCCTTGGTTGCAGAAGCAACAGCGCAGAAACGTGATACTCGTCGCAGAAGCGACTGGAAAGGGGGCTGGGCAGTGCTGGGCGTTCATCGCAGAAGCGAGCTCGCAGGCGTGAGAAATCTGCCGCAGGTGCGAAACTGGGCAGCAACATTATTTAACCAAAAAATAGAATTTCGGTTAAAACTAGAAATTAAGAGAAAAAATCGGGTTACTGATAATCAGGAGACGAAAAGAATAAGGAATTTTTGAGAATAATAAAGCAGTAAATAAGTTTGTATTTCAATGTAATCTCAATGATATTTCGTGTCCTTACAAATGCTGAGATCTCCTCCTTTTATAGTTGATTTTTTTAGGAAAAGGTATAATGTCTCAGTCTTAAAGAGGCAATTATGAGCATTAAATGACATTAAATGAAACGTTACACAATCATTCCTATTCAATGCTGATTCGTTAACGTATTTGACATTTAATACTGAATTTAGACTCCTTTATGCTATCAGATTCATATCTTCAATTCCTTCTGACCTCCTGGCTTTAATTAAGTTAAATAGATACGAGACTCGTATCATTTGAATAGCATCTCGTGCCTATTTAACTCTCTTCTCTTCGTATCTGATATCGCCCGTGCCCCTCAATTGATCATCATGTTTTGACCATTTGACCAGTCCACGTGTCATGCCACGTCACCTTCAATATAAATTCAGTTTTTTTTCCCAATACAGATAGTCCCCCCACTTTCTATTTATTTATCAATTAAATATTTGGGAAGTGGATCTTCATTAAAAAGGGAATTTTTGCCATAATCAATGCTATGACAGTGTCGACGCTTCAATTGTCTCTTCTATTTAATGCACCATATACGTGTCACCTTCTCATTAGTTCTGCGATTTTGCAGCCTTTTTCTAAGGCTTTTTTAACTCCACTATTCACGAAGTGATAGTTGCCTTTATTATAGGCTTTCCATCATTACACTTCTTAATTATCGACGGTTGAGTTTATATATAAACTTGCCCCCTCTTTCCTTTGTCTTCTTCTTCACAAGCTTTTTACCAAATTTCTTGCTATTTACTTTACCAAACTTTTTGCTATTTACTCTTGTTCACTTCTTCTTCAGTTCATACCTTCTGTTTATACACTCCGCATAGCCATGCTTCTGCTACTAGAACCCTCTTCTGCATAATGAGCAGAGGAAGGGGGAACTATAGAAGGAGGAACGGTAGAAGAGGTGAAAATAGTAGTAGTCAAAGGAGTCGAGGCAGGTAAGGGAGCAGAAATTGACAAAGAGGCAGGAACAGACAAAGTGGGTAAGGAAACACTTGAAATTAGAGGAGGAGGAACGGAAAGAACAAGAACGGAAGATGAAAGAGGAATTTCATCTAAAACCGGACCTAATTCACCACTTTCGAAACCCTCAATAAAGAGGCGATGAGTGGATTCAGGGGAGTCCCTTGGAATGGTTTCTTCATCAATGGTAATAGTAACGGGTTCGGAGATACGAGCGGGAGAGATTTCGGTTTCATCCTCAGAAACAATGCGCCTCCTGGTTCTAGGACGAGCTGTCAAAGAGGTATCTTCATCTTCATCAACGTCAGAATCCTCTTCAACCACTTTTCTCTTTGACAGCGTGGCTTGCGTTCTTTCCAAAGCAAGAGGAGTACTGGAAGAAGCTCGAAGGGTGATAGCTACTTCAGCCGACATCCCTCGAATAGCAAATCCTGACAATAAGAAGGATAAAAAGTTAAAAGAGGGGAAAAGAATTTAACACACGAGAAGCAAAAAGGGATGTATACCGTGAGTTTTCACTTTCCAACCGTGTTTGTTGGAAATAGATCTCCAAGTTCGTGCCTCCATAGGCACGGCTTTCAAGACAGCATCTACCCAACCACGGAAATTAGGAACGGGTTCCACATCTCCCATGGTTGCTACAAAAAAGCAAAGGAATAATAATAAAATTAGAAGAGAAGTTGAAATAACGAAAGCAGATACGGCAAGGAAGAAAATACTTACGTGCAAAGTTCCATTTCTCAGGAAAAGGAATGTTTGATTCACCCACCAAATCAATTGTGGGAACAGCGACAAACCGGGTGTACCAGCCACGGTCGATATTATCTTCAGGGTTAACCAAAACCCTCTTACTTCTTGCAGTTAAGGTAAAAACACCATTGCGGAAAAATTCTCATTTTGAAGCTTAAAAGGAGAGAGTTGACAGGAGAGTTGACTTTTGAGCAAACGATCTCGAATTTTGATGATCTCAATAGCGTCGCATGATGATTTCGAACTTAGGCGTGTGACCGGATTTGGATTTGGACGTCAGTAGGACAATTCGACGCATTTTGGCGAAAGTTGGAAAATAGAAGATTTTTGGAGAATTCGACAATAGGTGGAAATTTTGATAACGAGGTCGGATTTCGATTCCGAAAATTGGAACAGCTCTGTTACGTCATTTATGACGCGCGTAAAAAATTTGAAGTCATTCCAGATTTATCTGATATGTTTCGGCACAAAATATAGAAGTTGGAAGATTTGAAAACTCATAATTCGATTCGATGCATGATTCGTAATTTCGGCATTGTTTGACGTGGTTTAAAGCCTCGACTAAGATCGTATTGTCTTTTGGGACATATTGGCATATTTGGTTAAGGTCCCGAGGGCCACGGGTGGATTTGGAAAGGTTAGCGGAATTGATTTTGGACATTGAAGCTGCTGATTTTTCTGCTGTTCTGGACAGCATCTGGTGCATCGCTTCTGCGATGCCTTGGTTGCAGAAGCAACATCGCAGAAACGTGATACTCGTCGCAGAAGCGACTGGAAAGGGGGCTGGGCAGTGCTGGGCATTCATCGCAGAAGCGAGCTCGCAGGCGTGAGAAATCTGCCGCAGGTGCGAAACTGGGCAGCAACATAAGGACCAAAAACCAGTCATTTTGCCATTTTCAATCGGGACTTTGGGAGCTTATATCTCGCGATCTATAAGGAATTTGGAGATGATCCAAAAATGAAAGTTGTAGCTCTTTGTGTCTAGTTTTCAAAAATACAAACGATTTGTCATTTAGAATTGTGTATAGAAGGTTATGGTTCATACACTTAAGGCTGTCTGGAAAGAGTTTTGAAATAGCCAGAAATTTCTGTTTCACGGGGTTGACTTTGGGAGCTTATATCTCGCCATC